TTAAACTAAATCTGCCATTTTTTTTTTTTTTTTTTTTTTGCTATTAGGACGCGTGCACTCACCTGAGAGAGAAAAACTGAGAAGTAACCACCAGTGGGGATGGCCGCGTTATAGTCCCTTTGCCTCCATTCTCCCCTTAGAATTGTGGGCACATACGTGCACATACCTGGCATGTTTTACTAGCCACCAGGTACAGGGCTTGAACTGCAGAGTCCATGTGGGTGGGAGCCAGCACTTTAACCACCATGCCACCTCCTACCCATTACCTGCTTTTAAAGTAGACAACCTATGATTTTTCCAATTATTGACTTATTTACTCATTAAAAGCATAGAATGAATGGATACAAAAAAGGGCATTTCATCTACACATTTGGGGGTCATTCCTCTACACACATGGGTTGAGGGCAGTCCTGGCTCAATTGTAAATAAGCTGCCAAATTTTAAGAAAAGAGTCAGATGGAGAGGAATGGCAGCAGAATTAGGGAACAGAAGTATGAAGGTCTGGGGGGGTAGGTACAGGGGAGCTGAGTCCTCCTGCCTCTTTACAGCAATATCTTACATTCATATTAAATCATTGTTCTGCCATGAATTAATAACAACGCAACTAATACTGAAGCCCATTCTAAGTCAAAAAGAGTTTATATGCAACTATTAAACTAAATCTGCCATTGCATTAATACAGATGCCCCTTGGCCTATGACGAGGTTACATCCCAATAAACCCATCAAAAGTAGAAAATAGCGTAAGTTGAAAATGTATTTAACACACTTAACATTTTTCATTCATAGTAGGTTAGCCTAGCCTGCCTCGGACATGCTCAGAACACTTAACATTAGCCTATAGTTGGGCAAAGTCATCACACAAAGCTCACTTTATAATAAAGTGTGGAATATCTCAAGTGATTTATTAGACATGGTACTGACAGTGGAAATGGAATGGTCAAGTTGGGACTCAAACAGAGTCCATGTGGGTGGGAGCCAGCACTTTAACCACCATGCCACCTCCTACCTATTACCTGTTTTTAAAGTAGACAACCTATGATTTTTCCAATTATTGACTTATTTACTCATTAAAAGCATAGAATGAATGGATACAAAAAAGGGCATTTCATCTACACATTTGGGGGTCATTCCTCTACACACATGGGTTGAGGGCAGTCCTGGCTCAATTGTAAATAAGCTGCCAAATTTTAAGAAAAGAGTCAGATGGAGAGGAATGGCAGCAGAATTAGGGAACAGAAGTATGAAGGTCTGGGGGGGTGTCTAAGAGAGAGAAGAGTTAAGGGGTGCAGATCTTCTTCAAAATGGAAATGATGGGCCATCTGGTGGCATAGCGGTTAAGGTGATTGAACTCCACATGGCTGGATCCCACATGGCTGACTGCATGGTTCAAGTCCCAGACTTGGCAGTTTGCAAAACATGTTGGCCAGGTGTACGTGCACGCTCAAAATCCCAAGAGGAGAATGCAGAAGGGATTGTGGCATCACTTTCCCCCCTACAGGGTGCTTTTTCCCTTTCCCTTCCTCTCACTGTCGCTGCCAAGCACATGTGCCCTATAGCACAGTTACAAAAATAATAATAAATAAAATGGAGCTGATCCCCTGGGAGGTCTGCTGTGAGGATCAAAGGTCATAGATGTCCCCCCTACACACACACACACACACACACACACACACACACACACACACAACCAGGCCCCTGAAGGGGATTTAGCAAGTGGCAGCTGCTGCCCCTCTCGCTCCCACCACCCCTGCCCACGGCCACTGTGACAATGTTCCTGCCGGTCCTCCCACCGAGTGGCACTTAGAAGCTTCTGAGATGGAAGCTGCCTGAGCTCAGAAACACACACCCGATGACAGTTGTTGTTCTTGTGAGATTCTGGTCCACGGTGGAAACTTTTGGAAAAAGTCTTTCTTCCAGTGGCTTTTCCAAGAATTCTCTCCGAAGGGGAGCGAGCCAGGAGTTCTGACACATTTCTCTGCACTCCCTCCTTTATTCAGGAGCTTGTAATAACCCCCTTTCATCCCCCTTCTCCTCATTGTCCCACTAGGCTGGGCACCCCACGTATTTCGTTATATTCGGCTGGCCTCCCATGTCGGCAGAGAACAGAGGAAAGAGAGAAACACATGTAGAAGGAGAAAGGTGCTAGAAATCCCTCTCTAGGTATGCTGGCTGGCTCTCCGGCTTTTGAATAATTCACACAGCAAACTGTTTTCTAAGAAGCTGGCACTTTATAAATAGGCATTGATTAATCTGTTGTGGGAATGAACAAAAGGACCAACAAATTCCTGTGCAAGAGACGGATCTCTTTCTTCTGTGCTCCCTAAACATACTTTATGATTTGGACTGTATATACACATTTATTTTGTATATTTACAAAGATGACCATGATTTAAGTGCTTGTTTGAATGAATTTCAATACCCTGTTGTGGTGTGAGTTTGTCTCAGCTCGAAGTGAATTCCTTGCCTCCTCGTGTAAGAAACGTGGTTATTTTCATTCAGTATGGCTGTGTGGGGACAAACAGAGAAGAAGTAATTTGACTGTTTATTACTGGGTGTCTGTAGTGTTTACAGGCTAATATACAAGCACATGCATGAAGAAAGAAGCTGTCCACTACACAGGGAGCTCTACCGTTCTTTATGCGGAGAGCGTTAGAAGGAGGTGTGCATCGTCATTCAAAGGCTGGGGGAAATAATGAACTTGAACACCCAGAATTTTCACTGCATACTTTGTAGATACAATTTTCTTTTTCTTCAGCCTTTCTGTTGTTCTTCAACCTTGCAATTAGAACATTTGGGACAGTTGGGCTGCCTTTGCCGAAATGGCTTAATCACCCCTCACTGCTGAGCCACTGAATATGGCGGACAGACGTTAAGGCTCAGTGATAGCTGAGTGCAGGTAGCGCTCCACCGCTGAGGAAATGGAAATGGAAACATAAACAAGCGAAAGCAGTCTTTTTTCTTTCTTCTTTCTTTTTTTTTTTGTTTTGTTTGTTTTTTGTTGTTCTTTTTTTTTTTTTTTGTTTTTTGTTGTTCTTTTTTATTTTGGGGTTTGTTTTTTTTTTGCCATAGGGCCCCTTCACTCATGGTAGAGAAAGAGAAACAGAGTCAAAATGAGAAATCACGCCAGTCCCTTCTCCTCCATTCTCTCAGGATTTGGGCACCACCCACATAGACACAGTATGACTTTTAAGCTTCCGGCCCCAGGACTCAAACCATGGTTGGCCATATGGGAATCCAGTGCTTTAACCATCACACCACCTGCTGGCCCCTCAACAATCTTTTTCAAGAAAAATACTGTGCTCAGTTTGGATTTGTTGTCGTAATACGCTATTTATTTCCTGACTGTATTGATGATGCTTAAGATTAAATGCAAAGCTGTTTCTTTTATTGTAGATTATTCTAGAATTGACCATGCAAATGTTCTTTTCTTTCTTTTTTTCTTTTTCTTTCTCTCTCTCTTTTTTAAAAAAATTCTAGCGGGCATGTGCTTCACCAGTGAAAGCCAGAAAAGGGAAAGGGAGAAAACAGCCACTATTTGGGCATGGTCACATTGCAGTGCTGCCTCCTCCATTCCTCCATCCTGTCAGACACACACATGCATGCTTTTCAAGCCACTGGGGCTGATTTTTTCCTTTCCTTATTTTCTCTTTCTTTCTTTCTTTCTTCTTTTCTAGAGATTTTTGCTATCACATGCGTGTGCACACTAGAGAGACAGAAAGAGACAGAGAGACAGAAAGTGAGAAATCACCCCCCATTGGAGAGGGTCACACCACAACCCCTTTTCCATTCGCGTGTCAGAATTCTGGGCAGGCATGAACAGTGTGAGTTTCAAGCCCCTGGGTCCGGGCCTCGAACTGCAGGCAACCAACCACATGGGAGTCCAGTGCCTTACCCACTACACCACCTGGTGTAGGCTGTTTTGATCTGCATATCCAGCTATGTAGAATCTGGACACTGTGCCAACCCACAGCAAATGTTCTTTACATAAGGCCTTTCTGATGGCAGACACTTAACAACTACTCTGTTTTCAAATATTTATAACACAGTACTGAGCAAAAGTAATCTGCCCATTTTCATGTAGGAGTATCGTAGCTGTCAATGGGGAACTTCTCAAGTGACTAAGTGCCCGGACCGTGGAGTCAAATACAGTTGGACTCTTCTCACTCTGCCCCTTTGCTCCAGTGACACTTGAGGGGAAGTTACTTCTCTGCTGGCATTCAGCTTCCTTGTCTATAAAACAGAGACCAGCAGTGCCTCCTACACAGGGTGGTGGTGGTGATTAAATGAGGAAAGGATTTAGCAGAGTTTCTGGCATGATCCAGGCACTCAAATGTACTAGGTACAGCTCTTTTGCTTAATGTAAAGTTGTTTATAAGCAGGCCTGTCTTATTGCTGGAGATGCATTCTTAGCACAGACTTCTATCTATTCATTTGAAAATGCATTTATCAGGTACTCACGGCAGCTTAGTGAAAACCAGCCCTGAAATGAAGCCACGTACTCAGAGTAGAGAACTGTGTGCAGGGGAATATAAGGCCGTTCCATGCCTTAGTTGTATTAACCTTCAACCTTCTCAGAGGAAAGTGGGTGTGAGGAGCTGAGGAAACAAGAGATGGCAGTGGTAAGAGGTATTGAATTGTACGTTTACAAAAGTTCTATCATATTTTGTATTGTTTTGGTTGTTTTTTAAAAAATGAATTTGCTAACATTTTTATGTGAAGACCTTAAGATCCCATCTCCTAAACCAATCAAGGTAAGATGACATGCCCTGCTTAGCACCGTTCAGTGGGCACCGCGCATTCCTCCTGCTTTACATTCCCAAGTGAGGTGAACTGAGGTCTACACTGAGGAGGGGACTTGCCCAGAGTCAGGTTTCACATGGCGTCCAGCCCTCTCTTCGCATCCCTCACACCTCCCTGACTTTGCTCAGACGTTTTGCTAGTGACAAGACCCTGACACTTGACATGAGAAAGAGCTTCCAATGCATTGTCTTTCTACAGGGGGACGGAGCCCTCGGCCTCCATGTCGCCACCTTCAAAGGACTGACTTCTTCCCTCCGTGGAGCCAGCTCCTGCTGCCACCATGGGCCCCGCGGGCAGCCTGCTGAGCAGCGGACAGATGCACGTGGTCCTGTGGGGCAGCTTGGCAGCCATCGCCACTTTCTTCCTCATCACCTTCCTCATCTTTCTGTGCTCTAGTTGTGACAGGTGAGAGCCAATATGTGTTTGCTGGAACCTTAAATTAACACGTCCCCTGGACACAGAGGACTCTTTATATATGAATCCTGTTACGAATGAATTCCCACTGCATAGACACGTACCAAAATGCACACGTTAAAATTAAATTCTCTCTGTTGCAAACAGTTCCAGGATACTTTTTATTAATGGAATGAAACGCCGTGTTTGATTATGCTGGGGGCAGCCGGAAGAGCCCTTGTTTTTTAAAGTTAACGGAATAAAATCCTTGCTGTTCTTTTGAGCACACCGTTGTCACCGTTATGTTTCTTTTCCATCAGCGTGCATTTTGAAATCTAAGCATGATATGCGTCTTTTGTGCTGCCACTTGGAAGTTTCTGAGAATTTTTGCTATCATAAACTTCAGAGGGATTGTTTTTTAATCTTTGTAATATAAATGGTAGTTTCTTTTTTACAAAAGCTTATCCTTTTATTTCTTCCATGAATGAAAGAGACAAAGAATGAGACAGCACCACCAACAGGTTTTTTTTTTGTTTGTTTTTTTAGAGAGAGATTTTTGCTATATGGCACGTGCGCTCGCTGGACAGAGAGAGACAGAAAGTGATAAGATAAATCACACCCCCCAGCAGGGGTGGCCATGCCACACTTTCATCTCCTCCATTCTCCTCTCAGGATCTTGGGTATGCACACACACACGTCTGGTGTGACTAACAGGTCTTTTCATGCCGTGCTCCACGTCCAGCTCTAGATCATGGGCACATATATGCCCGGCGTATTCGGGGAGGTCTGCAGGCGCCAACGCAGATTCCTTTCCCCTGTAGATCAGCCTCACAGACACCACGTTTACCCCTGTGCCACCATCCAGCCCCAAACAGCAGTTTCTTAAGGAACAGATTAGTTCTCCTAGAAGACAGATATGCTGTATGTGAAGTAATCATCCATGTCTTGCTTGCTTTTTCTTTCTTTTTCTTTCTCTCTTTTCCCTCTTTCTTTTTCTTTTTTTGGAGAGGTTTTTGCTATAGGGCACATGCACTCGCCAGACAGAGAGAGAGAGACAGAAAGCGAGAAATCACCCCCCAGGGGGGGATGGCCACGCTGCAATCCCTTCTCCTCCATTCTCCTCTCGGGATCTTGGGCACGCACACACGCACATGCACCCGGCGTGAGTTTTAAGCCACTGGGTCTGGGACGTGAACCATGGTCGACTACATGGGAGTCCAGCGACATAGCCATTACGCTAACTGCTGGTCCCCACTTTCTTTTTCTTTCTTTCTTGTTTCCATCTTTCTCTTTTTCTTTTTTCTGGTCCCCATTCTTTCTTCTTTCTTCTTTCTTCTTTCTTTCTTTTTCTCTGTGTGTGTGTGTTTCTTGAGAACTAAACTTCTACTCTTATCTTGCCAGTGCTCCCCAGAAAAGGTCTTTGCCCAGAGAGCAGTAGAGTTCTCGTAACCAGGAGTGATGCCAGAAGCTGTTTTAAGGCACCAGCCCTCGGTGGGATGGATACAGCTGGGAGTCAGCACAGCACCACTGACATTGGCCAGCCTGTTTCAGTCTTCTCGACCTCAGAGAAAACTCTGGGACTGTCACCTACCATGACTTTATATGACTTTCTACCTTGAAATCTGTCATAAGGGAGAAAAGCCAGACCCACTGAGCCAAAGTAGCCTCTCAGTCCTTGCCCCCTTAAGACCCAGGCCTCCATGGCTGATCAGAGTACTCCTTGGCCTGAAGGGCCTGCCTGTAATTACTCACTCTCCCACTAGGTGACACTCTTGCCTTATTTGTTGATGGGAAACGTTTTTACTACAACTGCCGGGTTTTCTTTAGACGGCCCTGAGTAAAAACACTTTCTATTTTTACTCCACGGACTTTTCCATAGACTGGGAATACATCTGACTCATCCTGGGAGCATGTGTACCCTTTCAACGTGCCAAAAATTGTATTTTCTTGATTTTCTCTATCCTATCGTAGTGTGTGACTGTACAGATTCCAAGTGAGGAGATGAGATCATTGCCTGGATTTTTCTAAAGGAAAAAATGGCATTACTCTTTCAATATTCTAGGTGTATGTGGTTTGTATTCATAACCCTGCCTCCATCCTTGGGTGGGCTATTCCTGGAAGCAGGGGCACTCAAGAGAGGAGAAAAGTAGTCGCCTCCCCGGACTGGACCATCACCGACACCTGCAAAGGAGTGCCGGGTCACCGTTGTTTGGTTTTGGTTTTCTTTTAAGAATTACTTAATTTTATGTATTATTATTATTATTATTATTATTAGGTGTAGGACGTTTGTGCTCACCAGAAAGAGACAGTGAGAGAGAGAAAGAGAAAGTGAGAGAGCAAGCCACCAGGTCCAGTACTTGAACTGGGGTCAGTCTTGTGGGAGTCCAGCGCCTCAACCACCATGCCACCTGCAAGTCACTGCTTTTGTTTCATTTCGTTTTCTCTTGTGGCAGAATTAATGTGATTCTTACCATGAGAGAGACTTAAATGTTGATGGGAATGAAGTTAGGAAAGTGTGATTTTAGGGGCACATTGACATTAGGACGGTGTTCTATTTTCCAATTCAGAGAGAAGAAGCCCAGACAGCACAGCGGGGACCATGAGAACCTGATGAACGTGGTGAGTCCGTGCATGTGTGTGCTCACGTGTGTGTGCGTGCACTTGCATGTGTGTGTGTGCCTATGCGTGAGTGGGTTTTAAAGCACCAGCCTCTTACCTAAGTGTATTCCTGCCTGCTCTTGACCTGAGCGAAACCCAAGGGAAGAACAGAGCTGACCTTGACTCTGCCTGCCTGGGCTGCATCGGGTCTGCAGGTGTTTGTCCATGGCTGGAGGCCTATGCCATTAGCCAGGTTAGACGGCAGAGTTTCTGAAATGGATGCAGTTGTGCCATGGCCAGAAAGACGCTTACCCGGCTCCAGCCTACGGCAGGGATGGTTCTTTCTTGCCTCTGCCCGGCTCTCACCAGGAGTCAGCTGCTAGGGTTGTCATAATGAAAACCCACAACTGGGTGGCTTGCATAACAGATGTGTTATCTCTCCATTCTAGAGACCAGAAGTTCAAAAACCGAAGTGTTGGCAGGGCCACTTCCTTCTGCAGACTCCAAGGGAGTCTGTTCCAGGCGTCTCTCCCAGCTTCTGGTGGTTTGCTGGCGGTCGTTGGTATCCTTGGGGGTGCAGCGGCCTCGCTCCACTCCCTGCCTTTGCCTCTGCATGGTGTTCTTCGTGTCCTTCCCGCTGTCTTCCTCCTGCATATGACTCTCTATGGCCAAGATTATCCTTTTTATGAAGACACCAGACATTGGACCATGCCATCCCTACTCGGTGGTGGCCTCGTCTAACTGGTTTTATCCGCCTTGGCGGTGGTTCCAAATCAGGTCATAGTCTGAGGTATTTACTGGGAGTTAGGACTTCAGCATGAATTTTGGGATAGATGTGGCTCAACCCATAACAACTGGTTATTAGCAAACCATAGCCTGATACCCAGAACACCCTAGGTCATGGCCTCGCTGGATTTCCCAGCCCTCGGCATCTCACAGAGGACCTGAGCAGTCTCTGGGGCCACAGTGACCCTTGCTGAAGAACAGTCTGAGAGTGTCCTGGTCCTACCTTGTCCTCTTTGACTTGAAGCCATGCCCTTATATGTCTGAGTTATTCCTCCAGCTTGAGGGGTTTGGACCATAATCCCAAAAGACACGATTCTGAATGCCATAATCCCAAATACTCAAACTTCCAAAAATATAAAAATCTCAAAAACATAATTCTGAACAAAATAATTTTTAAAATTATGTAAAAGACATCATTTATTTGTTTAAAAGGGGATTTATTGGGGCCAGCAGGTGCCATCATGGTTAAGACGCTGTACTTCCAGATGGCCGACTGCGGTTCAAGTCCCGGACCCAAAGGTTTGAAATGTTGGGCACGTGTACGCGTGCCCAAGATCCAAAGAGAAGAATGGAGGAGAAGGGATTGTGGCATGGCCATCCCCCTGGGGATGGATTTCTCACTTTCTTTCTCTGTGTCTCTCCTGCAAGCATATGCACCCTATAGCAAAAAAAAAGAAAATCTCTCTTAAAAAATGGGGGGGGGGATTATTTGCAAAATGCATTAAAAACACATCAGAGGGACCAGCAATTGGTGTAATTGCTACGTCGCTGGACTCCCATGTTGTCAATTGTGGTTCGAGTCCCGGACTTGGACTCCCATGTTGTCGATTGTGGTTCGAGTCCCGGACTTGGTGGTATAAATTCACGCTGGGCACGTGTGTGTGTTTGCCCAAGATCCTGAGAGGAGAATGGAGGAGAAGGGATTGTGGCATGGCCATTCCCCCGGGGGGTGATTTCTCGCTTTCTGTCTCTCTGTCTCTGTCTTTTTAGCAAGTGCATGCACCCTATACCAAAAACCTCTCAAAAAAAAAATCAGAACACTTTATAGGCCACTTTACATAATAAAATAGGCAATAATAACATGTTTTGTGGAAATAAACACTCAGGAATACTAACCACAGTCTTATGGACATAATACTTGTGAGCCAAACTGTGTACATTTTTTCGAAGATCAAAAAGCAAAGTGTATAAGGACCTATCACTATGGTTGTTACCTTTGTTTTTTTTGTTGTTGTTGTTGTTTATTTGTTTGGTTGGTTGGTTTTTGGGGAGAGATTTTTGCTATAGGGCACGTGTGCTCACCAGAAAGACAGAGAGAGATAGACAGAAAGCGAGAAATCATCCCCGGGGAGATGGCCATGCTGCAATCCCTTCTCCTCCATTTTCTCCTGGGATCTTGGGCATGCACACACACGCACCCAGCATGAGTTTAAGCCACCAGATCTGGGACTTGAACCGCGGTTGGCTACATGGGAGTCCAGCAACATTGCCATTACACTAACTGCTGGTCCCTGGTTGTTGTTACCTTTGTACACTAGCTTTATCATTGTGGTCATCTGAGATAACATGACAGAAAAACTAAGTTTTATTGATTAAACCAATTGCCACTACCCTGGATGGATCCCCCCCTGTACCCGCAGCCACCCAAAGAGCTGAGATCCTGAGAAATTTTGACTTCCATGAATTGCACAAAAAAGGGCATCTCTTCATTTATTGAGGAAGTTTCAACATTTTAATGTACATACCAATCCTTACACACAACATCAGCATTGTGGTAATGTACTTTCTCAAATTTGCAAAAAAATACATGAAACAAATTGAGTTCTCAGAGTCTTTACACAATATATACCTCCAGTATTGCAAATGATGCAAAGTTAAAATACATAGCATAGCAAACTGTGAAAATTATGCTGACAATTTAAAATAGTAGGAAGAAAAAAGTTTAAAAAAATGAAAAGGAAAGAAAATTTGACACGAAAAGGCGTTACGAGGATATACAGAGCACTTGCACAGAGGAGAGCCATAGGAACTGGCCGACTTTCACTATTTAGTTTTAGGATTTCAATATCTGAGACTTTTCTCTTTGGGGATTGTGGTTGTCAGGAATTACAACACTGGGACTTGTTAGACTTTAGGGGTTTCAACGTTCGGGATTATTGCATTCAGGACTTTCAGGGCCAGGATTGGCATTGCCGCTCGGATGGGTCCACCCTAGGGTTTACAGGCTGAATAGAGTCCTGCCTGAGCCCTAGGGCGGTGCTCAAACAGGAGAGCTTCCTGTTCAGGACATAACTTCTCCAGGTCAAGCAAAAACTGGGTCAGGGAAGAGAGTGCAGGAAA